ATTTTGAAGGCTCACATTAGTATAAAAACATTAGGGCATTTTGAAAGCTCGCATCAACAAGAAGCAAATGCTGGGGCATGCTGAAAGCCCATTTCATTCAAAAATAATAATGTTAACGCATTTTGAACGTTTGTATCTGCAAATGTTGGGGCATACTAAAGGCCCATATCATCATGTGTCAAGATCATTTATTTGAGCAAATATTTCCAATGAGATAGAAAGGTATGAAGAATGAAAATTGTGAAGCACTGACAGTCGAACTGACTATACATAATTTCTTTGTTTATCATACAATTGCATTATTTTTATGATGCTGGCAAGCCAAAGCGTCCCACTTATATTCCCACTAAGCTTTGTTCTTAAGTGTCCTTATGACGTCTTACAAAAGCTCTGAACACTAGGCAAAGAGTTCATTAATTGATAAATCTGGGCAGAAGCCACAGGAAAGGATGAATGTGTTCTCAAATGTTTTATGAACATTTGTGCGGAAACCATATGAAAGAATGAATGTGTTGTCAAATGTTTTATGAACCAGTTATTATGATGTTGAACCAATGTTGCAATCATGTGGTATTTCCATTTATGGACCCAAGATGAAGTTTGACTTCTTCAACCCCAAGGTTAGAAGTGAGATATGATTTCTTTCCACAGAAGGGGATCTGAAATTTCAACAACAAGAAACTAGTGTAGCCAACTAAGATTGAACAATAGGATGTTGTTAAACATCTCAAACATGATATGGTCTAAATAGCCTTGTTCGAGATCTAATTAGATGTGGAGATATGAAAGGAATTAGGATAAATCCTTGTAATGTGTTTCAAGAGTGAAAATTAGAACAGATGCTGCTCTCCTAATTAATCTCTGTTGAGTTTAACATATCTACATCTACATTCTTCAAAGATGATAGATTCTCCTTTCAAAGGTTGACCCAAGATGAAATTGGTCTTCATCAACCCCAAGGTTTGAAACAAGAAATGATGAAGATTTCTTTCCCCTTAAGAAAAACTGAAATTTCAACAACAAGAAACTAGTGGAGCCAACTAAGGTTGAACGATAAGTTATTGTTAAGCATCTAAACATGATATGGTCTAAATGGCCTTGTTCGAGATATGATTAGATTTAGAGACATAAAAGGAAATAGAATAAATCCTTGTGATGTGTTTCAAGAGTCAAATCAGAACAGACGTTGCTCTCCTAATTAATCTCTACTGAGTTTGGCATATCTACATCTACATTATCCAAAGATGATAGATTCAATTTTCAAAGATGAAAGCTTTAATGGATTTCTACACAAGTCCAAGCAAAGAAAGTTGGTGTTATCCACGATAAAATGGGGCAATAAGGTCATAATTCTGACTACAGCAAGAACTCCATGAATGAAACATTTCTTCTAAGACTTTAATGCAAATGAAGCAAAGAGGATATAAAATTTTCTCTTCCAAAAAAGAGAATGTCAGCTTGAAATAACATTTTGACTAAGTGAAGGAAGACTGAGTTTGCAATGTTGAAGTCAAATAAAGATAGATTCAACATTCATGCATCATATTTAGGCATTTACAAAAATAGTGGCATTTCCATCAATTTATCAATGTTAAATATTTTACATGAATTCCAAAGATTAGCAAAGATTTCAGAAAAAATTCGAATCCATCACTCGATGGATCAACATTGCCAGGTAGAGTTCATAATGAGAATAACTCATATGAAGAGGAAGAAGAAGTTCATAATGAGAAGAACTTGTTCAACCTTTTTCTCGACTCTATCACAGAAAGAGATAGATCAGCATTGCCAGGAAGAGTTCATAATGAGAAGAATTCATCTGAAGAGGAAGAAGAAGTTCATAATGAGAAGAACTTGTTCAACCTTTGGCTTGACTCTATCACAGAAGGATATAGATCATCATCAACATTTTCAGATAGAGTTCATAATGAGAAGAAATCATCTGAAGAGGAAGAAGAAGTTCATAATGAGAAGAACTTGTTCGATCTTAGCTTGATTCATCGCCTATGTAGTTGAATTAAAGAAGAACCTCACTTGAGGATCAACATTTCCAGAGGAAGTTCATAATGAGAAGAACTCATCTGAAAAGGAAGAAGAAGTTAATAATGAGAAAAACTTGTTCAACCTTGCCTTAATTCATCACATATGAAGTTGAATCAAAGACACCTCTCTTGAGGATCAACATTCCCAGTGGAAGAGTTCATAATGAGAAGAACTAGTCCAAAGAGAAAGAAAAAGTTTATAATGAGAAGAATTTGTTCAACTCCAGCTTAATCAAGAGAAGTCAATTGAACAAAAATTTATTGTCTTTTGGTTTTTGCCCTATTATTGTTAACACAAGAATGAGCAAAGAGGGGCAGCTGTAGACACTAAATTTTTGTCCCGTTTTTATTTTTATTATTATTATAATTATTGTAAATATGATTATTATTATTATTATATAATTTTATTACAGGCCCAAAATACAACAAACCCGATGCCCGTTTTACAACCAAACCCAGAGGCCCAACAGAAGCCTAACCCGGTCGAGAAAACCTGAACCGGCCTAAGTGAAGACCCGACCTAATAGTAACCCTAAAACCTAACTAGGGTTTCATCATCTCAGCCCTAACTGGCAGATCCAACGGTCTAGAGCTTTAGCAAGAAAACCCTAGGGTTATGATACCCTAGAAGCCACGCTACCGCCGCCTCTGCTGCCACCATCAGCTATCGACGCCGCTCTCGCTAAAGTCTCCAGAAGGCCAGATGGCTACCCACGTCGAAGCTTAATGGTGAGTCACCACCATAGTTTGGTGACTCACCAAAATCCACCCTTAGGACCGGTCCATGGCGAGAATCGTGGTGGCCTATAAAAGCCACCACCGAACCTGCAAGAGAATAAAATATACAACAACCAACAGCAAAAAAACCACAAAAATGAGAGTAAGAAGTGAAAACCAACAGCCAGTAACACAACCACCAAAAAACTGAGAAAAAACAAATAAAAGAAGTGAGTGAAGACTTACCACTGAGGAAGCTACACAATCATCAGAGCCTTCATGCAGAGCTGAAAAACCTGAAACATCGAAGGTAAATAACCTTAGATCTACGTCGATCTAAGGAGATTTAGGAAAGAAAGAGGTCGGATTCGGCCTTTAGTTGTTGAGATCTTTAATTTGGTGCGATTTGGGAAATTCTGGCCACCGTGAGCGGTAGCCAGTGGTGGCTGCCAGCGCCGGAGCAAGGCGGCTGACAGGTGATCGGTTTCCCTCCGGTGAGGGAATTTAAGAGAGAAGGGAGAGAGTTCTCTCTTTAGAGAAATAACCCAAAAGGAAAAATAAGGGAAAATGGCCCTCTTGGGCCGATTATAGGGTATTTATACCCTCACCAAAACGAGGCCATTTTGGTAAGGGGCGTTTGTGTAATTTCCCTCATAGGAAAACCACAACCGCAGCCACTCATAGTTTTATAAACTTCCATTTTGACCACTGAAATAAATTTATATATGTTTTAATTCGGTCTTTCAATTTTATTTTATTTATAATTTAGTCATTAACATTATATATGTATGTATTTAGGGTAAATATCTATTTAGTCCCTTATAATTTTAATAGTTTTTACTTTAATCCCGTATTAATATTTATGGCTAAATTACACTATTAATATTTATATTTTATGATATTTCGAATTATGTCCATTAATTTTTATATTTTTCAATTTAATCCTATAGCTTTTAATTTCTTTTATTTTGGACATTTTTTATTATAATTTTATTTTATTATTGTCCTTTTAGTTTTCAATATTTTTATTTTAGTTCTTTAATTATTATTTTAGTAATATATATATATATATATATATGAAATTGTAAATATTATTTGATTAATTAATTAAATAATTATATTTATTTTTTTAAAATATTATGAAAGAGCTATCTTAAAATAACTAGATGTCCTATTCTGATATTTTAAAAATAAATAAATATCATGCTTATATATATATGTATTTAAATTAGTTTTTAGAAAAATCATATTCTTATTTATTTATTTTTAATTATTAAGAAAGGGTTGTCTTAAATTAACTAGAGCTCCTATTCCGATACTTTTAAATAAAGAAAATACACTACTTATAAAAACAATATATATATATTTGTTTTAAGTTTATTCAAATTATTTTTTGTATATTATTATTAATATTTATTTATTTTTTAATATTGAAGAAAGGGATTGTCTTAAAGTAACTAGATGTCCTTTTATGATATTTTTAAATAAATAAATAAATAAATACCCTCTTTATAAAACCCTAAAAAATATATTTACTTTAGTTTTATAAAAATTATTTTAATTATTCGATTGAATCTGAAATAACATGATCGTAAATTAAATTTATATTAGAATTCTTAAATTCCTACTGATAGATACACTTTATAATCAACGGATACCAATTTTGGGCGTTGTGGGGGTGCTAATCCTTCCCCAAATGTAACCGACCACGAATCTCTTTTTATTACTAAAAAGAATGAATTTTTTGTTATACGCAGACCAATTTATCTTTTAAATAGTTTTTTCTTAAAAACTCTTTTAAAAGATGTTTTTTAGGTATTCGACCTACCTAATCCAAAAGGTCGATGGCGACTCCAAAACATTTTCTTTAAAAAAAAACCATTAATATTTATTCACGCTTTTCCCACCAAGAAAAATTTGTACCTGGGAGAAAACCGATTACGACAAAACCTTTTAGCACTAATGCATACGCAACCACTTTGCCCAAAATTTGCAAAACATTGTTGCTTTGCTGGAAGAGAAAAAAATGGAAGTTTTTAACTGCTATTGAGGAATCAAACTACCAAAATAAAAATGAATCAACACCAAAGAGCAAAGAGGAATAGATAGATGGGTAAAGAAGGGATAACGCGCATTAGTTTGGGGACAAAATAACAAGCTTATGGCGTACCACCGAGAATGTTTGTGTATATCCCAGTGAAGGAACCTTAGTCGATTCTCTTCTGACAAATCTTTATTTACAAGCAAAGCAATAGTTTATCAAGTCCAAACTAAAATAATACCGTAACAAACCTTGCAATATCTAGTGCAAGACGCAAAGCTATTATTGGTTGCAATGCTCCTTTTCCTTTCAAAAAGCTGGTAACTCTCCCTGCAAAATAAGCAATGATTTAAAGTTTAAAAACCTAACTCTTAAAGAAGTAGATAAGGTTGGAGCTATATTATAAAATCCAGTTATCTAGAATCACTAAAAAATAAGAAGAAACTAAGATCTGGTAAGTAATTTCGTATCAATGAATTATCAAGTGCTCATAAGCAACAAAAGAACATAAGTGAAATCAACTTAGCAAGCCATAAAAGCAAATATAAGTAAATGCATGTATAGACCATATATACTATGACGGAGACCTGGCCTTGAGCAGTTTTGGCGAAGAGAAAGTGAGATCGGTAAAGAAGCAACAAATGGGTTTAGGTAAACGACAAGAATGAAAAAATAGGTGTAGGGGAAAAAATAAAAAGGGTTAAAGGGGCGCGGACATGAAAAATGTAAATTTGCGGTGTTTGTAAACACAAACGCCACTAAAGTACGAATCTATAGCTGCATTTGTATAAAAACGCCACTAAAGTATGAGTCTTTAACGACGGTTGTATAGAAACGCCACTAAAGTACGAGTCTATAGCGGCATTTGTATAAAAATGCCACTAAAGTACACGTCTATAGCGGTGTTTGTATAAAAATGTCACTAAAGTACAATATTTAGCGGCGTTTATATAAAAATGCCAATAAAGTATGAGTATTTAGTGGCATTTTTGCTTAAAACGCCGCGAAATTTGTTATTTTGTGGCGTTTGTTCTAAAAATGCCGCAATAACAATAAAGTTACAGGTATTTGTTCAAAAAATGCCGCTAAAAATACTGCTATAAACCTATTTTGCTGTAGTGGTGGTATATTGCCTAGATTCTAACAAAACCTTACGGTCAAATTCAAGAGATTACACGCATGAAAATTTATAAAATCGTATTTTTTTTAATTATCAACAATTATCTCATCAAATTACAAAAAATTAATCTATAACATAAATAAACAACAACCGAAAAACTCATAAAATTTATTTATAAAAATCTATATATTTACAGAGTAAAATATGTCAAATCATATAATCTTAAATCCCATAAAACTAATGTCCCAAAAGTCAAAATATATATCATATTAAAATTCATTTAAAGAGTAAAATGTAATAAAAATTCAATAATAGTCATACCGCATAGAATGCAATATATTGCTAGTTGATCCTTCAAGTACTAAAACCATTCTAACAATAAAAAAATCTAAAAAAGAAGAAAATAAAAAAAATTAAACTATAAAGTTTAGTATGTCCTCCAACGTAGACCAAAAAAAAACTAAACATAAAGTTAAAGCAATACACGACAATCATTAATATAAACATGACATTTACAAACAACATCGCATATGCTGTGAATGCAATGCAACCTAACTATCACAAACTACATCGTCTAACAATTATCAGACGTTAGCATTCTATAAGTGTCGCAACCGTATTTCGGTTGGGCCCCGGTATTAGGCTTCGACTTGAAAAATGTGGATTGAGAGTCGCCACCGATCATTTATTTAAAAATAAATGGGTTGATCGGATACCTTATTTCTTACCTGATCTGCGTCTTACCAGAAATATGTCGGGCTCGGGAGTCGGTTACGGTCAAGGAAAGATTAGCACCCTTGAACCGCCCTTTCGGTACTACGTAATTTCCCGTTGTCTTAATTAAGAAAATTGTAATTTTAAATTAAAAGGTAAAATTTGATAATGAATTACTTACCTCTGATTAATTGACGAAAATACCCTTAAAAAGTCATAAGATGTGTCAGAGGGAAAATGAATAAATGAAAAAATGAAGAATAAAAATAAGTAAAAAAAATAAAAGGAAAAATAAATAAATAAGTAAATGAAATATATATATATATATATATATATATATAAATGAGTAAACTAGAAAAATAATAATCATAACAATAATAATAGTAATATGAAAATATAATATAATATAAAAAAAACCAAAACCAAAAATAAATAAATATATAAATCAAATATAAAAGTATACATATAATGATAATTGGCTTATAAATAAACTATTTAAAACATACATATATATGTATAATGATAAAGTAAAAAAAACTAAATAAAGATAATTACAATATATATATATATATATATAGTAATAATACGTTTATAAGTAAAATATTTTTTTAAAAAAGTATATATATATAAAAATAATAAATATAGTATTAAAAAATAACCAAATGAATATAAAAAAATAAAAAAATATATGTATAGATAATAATAATATATAGTGTAAGAAAAATCAATTGAAAATCATTTAAAAGAACATACGTATATATATTTATATAATGACAATAATGTAAATAATAAATAAATAAATATATATATACAATAAATAAAAGGACTAATATAAAGAAAAATAAAGATTGGGGCCAAATTTGAAAAAACAATTAACGTTGATATTACGCATTAGGGGGATAAAAAATGAACACGCCTCGGGATAGATCTAGGTTCGAAACTTCGAAACCCCACCAATTTTTGGTCATCGGCGCAACCCACGTTTTGGGTTATTCGAACCAAATCTAAAAAAAATAACGTGCACATGCGAGAAATGAACGAATCAAAAAAAATGCTACCTTTTATTTCCTTTTCGAATCGTTTACAATAGCTTTGCCTTTGTATTTTCCGTGTTTTCCTCTGTATTTTGTCTATAAATCGTCTCTTACAATAGTGAGTTACAATGACTATTTATAATGCTTGTGGATCCTATCTTTAGGAGTTTAAATAATAGTAGAACTCTATCCTATTTTTAGGAGTTTGAATCCTAGCAAAATTCTATCCTATTTTTAGGAGTTTGAATCCTAGTAGGACGAAAAGGTGTGTTGACAGTTGCCCCTCTTTGCCCATAGTCGTGTAACGGGGATAGGGCAAAGATTAAAAGACACACTTTTCGTTCAGTGGAGTTGAAAATTGACTCTGATGTTTCAATAACTCCCTGTCGAATTGAGTTACGGATGACTCCTCCATCGTGAAGTCGAGTTCATCTTGAAATGACATGAAATTGAAGCCGTAGTTTGGAATTTGAATCAGCACGTGGCTTCCCGTTGCCCTTCAGTTTTCTTCTCGGTTTAAAGACCTTGGATCAGAATCGAACTCATAAATCTTCATTGACAGATAACTTTTTCTTGACTTAAGCTATGCTGGTTGCTTGTCACTAAGGCACGGCTAACCCAGGTCCTCTTCTCGACTTGAAAACCTCGACTGCAACCGAAAAGTATTGCGATTGATGTGTCATCGAGCTGAATGGAATCGAACTCGTCAATTTTGATGGCAGATAACCCTTCTAGCCTTGAGTTATGCTGTAAATGATGTGCCTTGGAGCTGAGCGTAGTCGAACTCGAAGGTCTTTGTTAACAGATACTCCTTTTTTGAGTTGAATATCCTTCGTCGTGAAGTTGAAATCCAATCTAAAGATGGATGATGCTTGTGTGCATGATTCCCTTCGTCGTGAAGTTGAAACCGCGGGTGGCCCCTTCGTCGTGAAGTTGAGCCTGGAATTGGATATCCTTCGTATTGAAGTTGAAATCCAAGTAAGTAGCATTTTTTCGAGTCTAATATCCTACGTCGTGAAGTTGAAATTGGCTCTGGAACCGGGAAATTATTTGTTGACAACCAGCCGTCCCTTCGTTGTGAAGTTGAACTTGTGTTGTCTCGAGTCCAATATCCTTCGTTGTGAAGTTAAAATTGGCTCCAAAATTGGGAAATTATTTGTTGACAATCAGCCGTCCCTTCGTTGTGAAGTTGAACTTGTGTTGTCTCGAGTCCAATATCCTTCGCTGTGAAGTTGAAATTGGCTCTGAAATTGGGAAGTTGTTTGTTAACAACCAGCCGTCCCTTCGTTTGTGAAGTTGAACTTGTGCTGTCTCGAGTCTAATATCCTTCACTGTGAAGTTAAAATTGACTCTGAATGAAATTTTGTTGACAATCAGCCGCCCCTTCGTCGTGAAGTTGAGTTTGTGTTGTCTTGGGTCCAAGATCATTCGTTGTGAAGTTGAACTTGGCTCTGAAATTGAGAAGTTGTTTGTTGACAACCAGCGGTCCCTTCATTGTGAAGTTGAACTTGTGTTGTCTTGAGTGGCACGATATCCTCCGTCGTGGATTTGAAATCGTGGTTGTTTGGCTTCGAGCTAGATATCCTTCGTTGTGAAGTTGAAATCTACTCTCGAGCAAATTGTGAGTTCGAGAGAAACTTTCAATCTGTCGAGTTGGTCGAAGTGTAGCTTCTTGCTGCTGAGTTAAGCAACCAACATGAATCTTTAAAGGTGATTTTGAATCGAGTATCCTTCGTCTTGAAGTCGAAACTTGACTCTAAAAGCTGAAAAAAATTATGTATGTGGAAAATGATAAATATGATGCTCTAAAATGTATGCATAAGATGCATGTAACATGAATTGGTTATATTTTATCTCCTGAAAAAGGTCTGATAATTTGCATTAGGATGTTGAATCCAAAAATACCCCAATATTTGATGTTGAATCTTCAAAGATGCCCCAAATATTCCTCATTTCTTGCTTCATTATTGATTCTGAGCATGAGTTTTGTGTCTAAAAGTCACATGTCATTTACCAAGATCCACTCTAGATAGACTGTCTTGTTTGAAAAAAATGTTTTTCTTTCTCTTTTATTTTCAAAGTTATGAAAATATCAATTAAAAGAGTTTTGAAAAATGTTTGATCCAAAGTTTTGAAAATATTGTCACTTTCACGGTTTTACAATTGAGACGAATCATAAACTAGAGTTCATCGGATATCAAAGAATTAATTATATTGTTAATCCTTCAATGAATTATAGCTATTTGACAAGTGCCAAGATCAAAGCTATTTTTGGGAAGTGGTTAAGTAAGGAAAGGATAAAAACAAATCTCAGGATATTATGTTTGGTCAAAGGTTTGGTATTTGATGCTCAAAGGTTTGGCATTTGATGCTCAAAGGTTTGGCATTTGATGCTCATAGGTTTGGCAGTTGATGCTCAACGGTTTGATGGGGTAGTTTACATGCTCCTCTACTG